CCCCAAAACCCCAAAACCCCAAAACCCCAAAGATACTATATACAGATATTTTTGGCTATTTAAATCAATTATAAATTGAAGTTTATTATCAAAGTTCAGATTTCTTCTCTGCTTCAGTGGCTACCTCAGGCTCCTTTGGCTTTGGGTTAAGATACTAGTCCAAAACCTTAAGCATAGCTACCTTCTGTGAAGGCTGCAAGAAATTGGCTTGAGTCTCAATTCTGCCCCTGTATCTATTCACTTAATGAAGAGGGCATTAGTTTGCTGAAATGCTGTGAAGGATATATTATAGGCCTTCGAATTTATCAGTTCCGAACAAAACTGGCTACCATCTTTATTTGTGCTCGTAAACATGCTCCCTTGCTTTGGCTCCCTCAGCTATAATATCCTATTTTGCAAGTACTTCTTCAAATAACTCTACATACTCTTTAACATTAACATCTTTCTTTTTGGCTGAAGTGAATAGATTGTCAATAGCTTAAGCAACAAAATAGCTGACTTGTTCTCTTGGAACTGGCAGAATTCTAGCCTTAGCGAGTTGAGAGTATTTGTGTTTCTTATCTTCCTCGCTTTCCTATTCATTAGCGGCCTCATCTTCCTCTTCTTCCTCGTCATCATCGTCCTTCTTTGGTTTCTTAGAGTATTTTTCCTTGAGCTCTTTGGTCAAGACTGGTCCCATATAGACGAATGAGTTATTATTAGCAAGTTAGAGCATTCTATCAATCACTGGGAACTATACGTTGGCGAAGATCTCGTGATGAAGGCTGTCAAACTAAATTTTACCTGCTAACGAGAAACTCATAGCATATTGAGCCTTAAGAAGCTCGTCATACATTGCGCATTTAACTGTCTTAATTGCTTTGTTTACATCCTCCTTATTTGCATCTGGGGTGTGTATCATCAATTTTACCTGGATATCCTGGTACAGATTAGCGATGAGTCCAATTTTATGGTCCATGATATACTGGTTTTCAAGCAGTGATTCTAGAACGATCTCAAAGATATCTGATCTGAAGAAATCATCGTAAACAAAGTAATTAAGGAAATCTGGATCATCTAAACTGAAAAGGCCGATATTGTCTGCGACATACCTCATCAAGTTAGGCTTGTTCTAGGAATAAGAATAGGTTATTGCATTGAAGTTGTCGTTAAAAAGTAAAGAGGCGAGCAATTAGTGGCAGTCAAAGTTTTACTTGGTTAATGATAATCCCTTTTGACATTTGTCTGAATGCTTCAAGTTGCAATTCACAATCTCATCAATAATTCCATAGTTATCCTCATCTACTACATCTGCTATATTCAAACAGTGATGAGTGGGTGTCTCATGAATAGTATGGAGAACTTCAGATGCGTTGAATGTGTGAAGGACAAGGCCAACAGTAGCGAGTATCAAATTGTATCTCATATTTAATTTATTGTTAAATCGGCAATCACTAGAATAAATCAATAAAACATATCATAATATCAAGGATTATTCATGATCACATTTTACTAAAGCATATATTATCATATTAATTAGGCTGTATGGGGTTTTGGGGTTTTGGGGTTTTGGGG